GCAGGGAGCGGGCAGCATAGAGGGAGCAGGTATCGGACGGGAGCAGGGTGCAAAGGTAGCGCAGAGCCAGAGTGTCGCAGGGAAGAGGGAGAGCAGGGAATCCGGGGTGCAGGGGAGGCGTGGGGAACGGGCGGCGCGGAGACAAAGGGGGGCTGGGGCCGTGGCAGGACAGGAACCGGTGGGGCGGATGGGGCTGTGCCGTCCGTAGTGCGGACTTTGGCCAGCCCGTCACAACGGCCCACCGGGCCAGTCCGCCCCTGCACTCGCCAGCTAGAAAAATCTTCTCGCCACAGGCGAGCAGGCGAGTGCACTTGTCGAGCCCTGGCGATAAGGGTAGACAAGGCCCCAGGGAGCAGTGCCTCTCCCGCGTCAGCATCTGCCGGGATGCTCAGCCAGCGCCGGGAACCAGAAACGTTCATTAGTCATCTGGAGCACAGCATAGGGGAATCTTGGTTAGCATAGTCCCTGCTGGTCAGCACAGAGCCGACGCCCGTCCCTGGGGCCCCTCTGTCCCAGTTCAGGGGGCGATAAGGGTAGACAAGGCCCCAGGGAGCAGTGCCTCTCCCGCGTCAGCATCTGCCGGGATGCTCAGCCAGCGCCGGGAACCAGAAACGTTCATTAGTCATCTGGAGCACAGCATAGGGGAATCTTGGTTAGCATAGTCCCTGCTGGTCAGCACAGAGCCGACGCCCGTCCCTGGGGCCCCTCTGTCCCAGTTCAGGGGTATATCCACAAACCCTCGGCAGCCAACCCTTCACCACTACCTCCGCCACATCTCTGGTCCTTTGTCCCCCAGCTGGCTGCCAGGGATGGAGCTGGTGCTGGCTCCTGCCTTAGGAAGGCAGGATAAGGGATGCCCTTGAGGTACAGAAGTGGGGTGGGTTCTGTAGTGGTTATGGGGATCAGGCATTCACCTGGGGAGCACAGGGTGGTGGGTTTGAGCCCTGCCCCCCCTCAGCAGCTGAAGCAGAGAACTGGGCCATCCCAGGTCCTTGTAAAAGAGTAGTCAAGTCAACTACATGCAACCCCCTGCCTCCCTTTGCTGCCTCTATAGCAGAGCCAGCAGTGGGAGGGAAACAGGAGCTGGTGCTGTGGGGCGTTGGCTTAAAAACTGGTTTCCCCCCAGCACATCTCCGGGGGAAGGGGAGGCAGAGGTGCAGCATGGGACCCAGTGCGAGCTGGGACTGTTTCAGTCCAGGCTCGTGCCAGGTCCAGACTGCTGCAGCTCTGCCTTTTAAATGTAAGAGCCAGGCAGCTCTTACTACCTTGAAAAGGCAGAGCTGAAGCGGGGTTAGCTCCTGCTGCCCGGCTCCTAACACATTGAAACTGCAGAGCTGCAGCCGGGATAGCGAGCCCCTCTCCCCTTATCAAGTAGTCCGGGGGTTCTCAAATTTTATGATACCGCGACCCCCCGCTCCCAAGTTGCTTGTGACCCCCAGGGGGTTGGGACCCACAGTTTGAGAAACGCAGGAGTAGTCAATGGCAATTCCATCGCCTACGCAATTAGCTGATTGTCTGCAATTTAACGTCCCTCTTGAGCACTGCAGGGTGCTTACATCTTCTGAGGCATCTGCTACTGCTGCTGTCCAAAAGGGACATGAGACTAGATGGACCTTGGGTGTGACCCAGTTTAGCAATTCCTATGGGAGCGACCAGCCCTCATCTGGGAGCTTATAGGCAATCTCGCCTGGATCTGCCGCAAGATTGGGGTTTGCATGTAAGCATGGACCTCATGAATCACGAACATAACTTTCTGTAGTTACAACGTTTTCCTTGTCCTCCAACCGTTTACTTACTGACTCAGTCCAACTTCCCTTAACGTACAAGACCTTGCTGTCATGGGCAGGTTGGGGCTGGCAGGGAATATTTCCGCCTGGGTGAAACTTATGCACGTAGGATGTTTGAGTCATAAAGTGAATCAAGGAGTGGAGCTTTGTATTGACATAGCTGCTAGATTCCCGTCAAGTTCAGGGCTCTGTTGTCCCCTGTATTGAGTTATGGCCTGGGTCCAGTGCTCCTGCCATTTGGTTGAAGGAATGGTAGACCGGTCTCTTGCATTTTACCACCCAGCTGTCTAGACCTGTTCCGAGCACAGTTCTACAACGCAGCGGTCGGAACATCATCAGCCCCTTGTATCTCGCCTATGCTGACGCTCCTGTTACTGCTACCCGAGTGGAGCTGCACCAGCAGGAGACCCTGGCGGGCAAACGACAAGAGTAAAAACCGCAGCATCCAGACACTATACTTCTGTAGTGTGCGTGGGGCCTACGCTGACACGCGTATCTGACTAGAACACTGCTAGTGACAAATGTGTTTAGCCTCCCCGCACGACGGGGGTTGTTTTCTAGCTGAAATCAGCCTGCTCCGTCTGTCCTCGGCCCGAAGAGAGCCTTCAGCCACCTCGCAGAGCTGCGCTGGGTTGGAACCCTAGTTCGGCAGGGCTGCTGCACAGTCTGGGAACGCTTAGCGCCCTCTGGTCCTGTTCATATTGCAAGGCCAATCCAGAGCTCTCCCACTGTGGAAGGATTTGTGGAGTAGTTGGGACTGGAGTCTATTCTCGAATCGAAGGGTTTGGTGCTAGGGAGGAAGGCTGGGGGTAGCTTGAGTACCAACCAGCCTGTGCTGCAGGGGTGGGCAATAATTCTTGACCGGGGGTCACTTCAGAACTTTTTGAAGTGGCCCCGGGCTGCCCCAGAAGGGGCGGGGTCTCGGGCAGAAGGGGGCGGGGCCAGAACTCTTCTGTACTTCCCCACCCACAGATCCTGTGCTTCCCCCCACCCCCGCCATGCAGAGAACCGCCAGCTGTTTTGAACAGCTGGCGGTTCCCTCTAGGCGCCTGTGCCCCTGGTGGTGAGAGGAGAGTTCACGTGCTCCCTCCTACTGCCTCCAGGTCAATCAGGGCCTGGGGAGGAGCAGCACGTGAAGTCTTCCGCCCCTGCCCTGCAAGCTTGAGCAGCAGCTGGCAGTTGACTTTAAGACACACCCTGTAGCTTTGTGCCTCTGCTGCCTTTTGTAGCTGGGGTGTGTGTGGTGTCTACACTGGCAATTGAGCGACAAAGCTTTTGTCATTAAAAATCCTGAAGGACCAAAGCCTTTGGAAGTGGGTTTTGCCCACGACAGCTCAGGATACTAAACGTGTATTTTTGTTTGTCTCTCAGGGGCCACAGGGCTACTCCTTGGTTTAAAGTTACAGACTAACACATCTACCCCTCTGAGACTTAAAAGCTTAACGTGTGTGCGCGTGCGTGTGCATGTGCGTGTGGTGCTAGTGTAAAACACTAGCGCACTCCTGCCAATAAAGCAACCGCTGCTCCTTGCAGACAACCAGTGTTTACGCTGCCTCGGTTTTTAAAAGCGGTGGCGTGTAGACAAAACCTCGTCGGCATTCTAATGGTGCCTCTTCTCTCCTTTCTTAAGGCTCTCTGCTTGTTGTTTTCCAGGGGAAGTTCACTTTGCTGTGCAACACCAAGACAAATGGCAGCTTTTTGGTGCACCACTTCCTCTCCTTTTATCTCAAAGGTAGGTGAGCTCTTGCTGGACCCAGGTGACACGAGAACTGGGAGAGAGTTTGGTGGTAGGGAGATCAGGTCCTGTTCCGATGACACTGAGTTGGCCCTCATGGGCTCTATTCCTACCTGGTCTTTGGGCTTTCTCTGTGACCTTGCGCAGTCGCTTCATCTCGCTGTGTGTCAGCTCCACCACCCGCAAATGCACACGTAGCCGCAGGGATGTTGTGAAACTAAATGAGAGTTGTGAAACCCGCTGGCTCCTCGGGGCTGGAAGTTGCGATATAACAGAAGCTCATTCGCTACCTACACCTTTTGAAATGCGACAGGAATAAACACTGTGTTAAAAATACCAGCAAACTCAGATACCCACGACTGCGTTTCAAAAAGAGCAAACCAAAACCCAGTCCAAACGGCTAGTTGAGTAATAGTCTCAACTGCTAATGATTCATCTGCTGGCCCAGAACTGGCCTGTTTCGTTGGCTTGTTTTAAATAGTATCATGAGGCGCTCTGCACTTTGCCAACGTCTCCCGGTAAAGCTGCAGTTGTGGAGAAATCGGTTGGGGTTGTGACATAATGTGACTCGCAGGAACCAGCCTTCTGAGCCTGCACTGATGTTTAGCACGTAGGTGCTGGTGCATCAAAGTCTGTTCTCCAACGTGCTGTGATGCACTCAGGGGGCTGCAGGGATGTCAAGGTGGAAAGAATGAGGCCAAACTTCTCCGTAATTGGAACCTTCTACCCTTCCTTAGAATTGTGAACTCTATGATTTCATGATCACTTTCACCCAAGCTGCCTTCCACTGTCAAATTCTCAGCCAGTTCCTCCCTATTTGTTAGGATCAAATCTAGAACAGCTTCCCCCCTGGTAGCTTTTTCAACCTTCTGAAATAAAATGTTGCCTCCAATGCAGTCCAAGAACTTATTGGATAGTCTGTGTTATTTTCCCAACATATATCTGGATAGAGATTTTCAAATCTCATGTTTCATTTGCATAATTGCATCCGATCGCTTTTTCAAAAAAGGTTTTTTCAAAAAAAGCAGTCTAGATGTGGTTTTCTCGGGGAAAAAAATGTTTTTTCAAAAGAACCCTTATTCCTGAAAAAATGAGGTTTACAGGGTTCTTTCGGAAAAGGGTTAGTTTTTTTCCGAAAGAACCGCATCTAGATTGCTTTTTTTTTTTTTGAAAAACATTTTTGAAAAAGCAATCGGATGCGATTATGCAAATGAAACATGAGATTTGTAAATCTGCGAGTCAGTTGCATTTTCATTTGTCTTCATTTACATTCCTCTTTCGAAAGAGGAAAGTAGCTTAGATGCACCGTTTGATACTTCAAGAGATGTGAATTCATCAGACAAGACCCCGTATTGGTATGGGCCATAATCCTTATTTCAAAGGTACTTCAACATATATCCGGTGGTTGGGAATGCTTGGTGCTCCTGTGGCACAGGGAGGGGAAGCAGAAAGACAAGTGACTTGCTCAAAAAGCCCCCAAATTAGAAATATTTAAATGTTTTTAACTGGACAATTTTCTTTTTAAATGGGGAGAAATGATCTGTTTAAAGATTTAAAATAAACCTACATGAAGTCTGACTCAGTGACTCCTTCAGGTGGTGGGAATGTTCTACTCTCTGGCTCATTTGGATAGGCTTTTGATTGTCTGTCTCTTCTTTATTGCCCATGGCGTGAGAGTGGAAACTCACAACAATGAAGGGATAATGTGTCTTGTCTTATTTCCCAGCTGGCTGTAAAGTCTGTTTTGTGGCCCTCCTTCAGTCCTTCAGTCACTATAACATCATAGCGCAGAAGCTGGTAAGTCTCTTGGAACAGAACGCTCACTCTCAGTGGGGAAGTGGGGGAGGGCTTGTGGTTTTTGGAAGCTACTGCCACTTGGGGGCATGTCGTTTCATGAAGGTCTGATTCTGGTCAGTAAGGTAGTTTGGGGTTTGTCGGGCAGAAAGTAGTGTAGACACAAACCTAGCATAGTCTGTATGTAACTTTACATCCTAGACTTTTGCAGTGCCTGGGTCTGGTCCCATGATGCACTGAACATACTCACCCCTTTTGGAAATCATCGGCAGTTGTGGATATTCAGGGTTGAGCTTGGGCGTGGAGGCTTGCTTCTCTCTCCTTTGAAAGTACGTCATTAGCACATGGCCCCTATTACAGCAGGGGCAGGCAAAATCCGGCCCGCCAAACCACCGGATCCAGCCTGCCACTGTCCTTGGGCAGACTCCCGCACTGCCCTGCCCCCCAGCACAATCTCACAGCTCCCACCGGATAGAGACAGACCCCCTCCATAAGATGCTCCCTTTTCAGAGCCACAGGGAAAACTGCCCAGTACCTAGAAGGAGAAGTCCAGAACTCCTTAGTTTGGAAAGGAGAGGACTGAGGGGGGACATGAGAGCAGTTTTCAGGTATCTAAGAGGGTGTCACAAGGAGGAGGGAGAAAACTTGTTCATCTTGGCCTCTGAGGATAGAACAAGAAGCAATGGGCTTAAACTGCAGCAAGGGAGGTTTAGGTTGGACATTAGGAAATACTTTCGAGCTGTCAGGGTGGTGAAACAGTGGAATAAATTGCCCAGGGAGATTGTGAAATCTCCACCACGGGAGATATTTAAGAGCAGGTTAGATAGACATCTACCAGGGATGGTCTAGATGGTGCTGGGTCCTGCCATGAGGGCAGGGGACTGGACTCGATGGCCTCCCGAGGTCCCTCCCAGTTCTAGTGTCCTAGGATTCTATGGTGGCTTTAGGGGTGATCCAACTGTCCTCCAGCCCTTGTGCCTGTCCCGTGGTGCTCGTCCCCAAAATGGACGGTATGATCTGGTTTTGCATGGACTATCAGAAGCTGACTGCCGTCGCTGCGTCCGATGCCTACCCCGTGCCTAGGCCTGACGAGGTCCTAGATAAGCTGGGGGGAGCTTGCTACTCACTGCTACAGACCTCACCAAGGGCTACGGGCAATTGCTGTTGGTTCCATTCCTTCTATTTGTCCAGGCGGTGGATGTACTAGGCTTGCAGGGTCTTCTGCATCGCCTTCTGCTGCTCTGGGTCATTGCAGTGTCTCTTCCATTGCCTTGACTTCTGGACCTCTATACCAGCTGCCCTGGTAGGGTCCCTATCCACATGGAGAAGGCAGATCCTGGACAAGTCCCTACTTATAACAGGGCTCAGCCCTCTGCCCCTGTCTTCTTTAAGTGGCTCTGATGCCTCTACTCTGTAACCACCAGCGTGTGCTTTGTGTTTTCAGTCACAGCCTCTTACCCTCCCAGGCCGCAATTCTCTGTACAGTGTCATATAGTCGTAAGAGAGGGAAGAGATCTCTCCAGGGAGACTGTAATTTGGCAGGGCCTGGCCCCTGACCTTCCTTCCTGTGCTCCTCTTCTCCCTTGGCAGTTCGGAGAGCCCTGCCACTCTGCGGATGTCAATGCAAATAGCCGCAGCTCCTTTTTGCATCCATTTTGCATTTCGTATCCACGCAGGGCTTAACTAATTAGCCCCTGCGATCTCCCCCGCCCAGGCTGCTCCCTTTCCTCTCTCCTGCCCTCTTCAGGGGAACTAATTGGATTTCCTGTGATCGGACAGCTGGTTCAGCTGCTGGTTCTCCACCGTCTGTCACGAGGGGAGAAAGAGGCTTGTAAAGCGGATGTTTGTTTGGTGCTGTAGGTTGGGTTTGGTGCTTTGTAAAGCAAATTGTACTTCGCTTATTTCATTCATTTATTTGGTATTGCCCCTGCACATGGGGCTTCGGCACAGACCAGGGCCCTGGCACGCTACGCACCTGGAACAAAAAGGTGGTCCCTGTCCCGAGAGGCCTACCGCTTGAAGATAAGCCAGAGACCAAAGCTAATGTCCAATTATTCCCTTGTCATAGGACATAAATGGGTTGAGAGCTCAGATCTAATGTGAGCAGAATGACTTTTCCTTGGTAAAACGATGAGGTTTTATTTAAAGTTTGTTATTTTCTCCTCCCATGCACACGTTGTCTGGGGGATGTTAGTGGATAAATAGCACCTACAAACTACATTTCCACACTCCACCCAAATCAGCCTCTGCTGGACTACGCTGGGCCAGCGGGAGCAGGTCTCCTCACTGCTGAGGCAGCGGGAGGGGGGCGAATTGCAGCCAGGCTGGCCCTTCTGCATACCTTGGGGAAAATGTAATCTGTAAGAAGTGGTGTTAATTAACATGTTAAACATCACTTAGCAGCTACAGTAGACAGAGACCGTGCCCTGGGGAGAACCGTGTCCAGCTGTGAACAGAGCTTATGTACAGAAAGGGAAATATGTTGGTTTATGGGATGATTTCTGAACTTCTGCAATTTCCCAGTGCAGACAAGGCGTGAGTGTGTGTTATTAATAGGTGTTGCCGTCCTCTCTCTCTCTCTCTCTCCTGGGGGACTGTGAGAAAGTGAAAGAACCATGTGGATTAGTTGGGGCTTGTATGTGATGCAAATTGAAAGGTGGTGTTCCTCACTGCTCTGAACAATGTTATTATCCATACAGAGAGGTGCTGAAAGGAACAATCCAGTTTTTCCTTGGGGAATTCCAAGAGACGAGATAAATCTGTCGCTAGCTGTTGGCTAACCTCCCGGCTTTAGGCTCCGTGCTATGTTATAATTTCAGGATTCTCTGTGTGGACGGCAGTCCTTGAATTCCTTGGCAGTTCTTTGATGTTGAAGGTTATGCCCCTGGTTAGTGGTTATTTATAACCCCCTAGATTTGCAATAAGATCTTGGATTTGACACAGAGGCTACGTCAACTTGTTTAGATTAACACAATGTCAATCTTAATACAGGTGTTTCTTGGATGGATAGCTTCACTCTGGGTGTGTCTAAACTACATGGCTCAGTCGATGGAGCCATGTAGATTAGGCTGATCGGCAGAGGGAAATGAAGCCGCAATTTAAATTTAAAGGGCTTCCGCGCTCTGCCGACCAGCTGATGATCAGCTGTTTGTCGGCAGATCGGGGCAGTCTGGACACGCCGTGG